TGGAATTAGCGGTCATTTCATGGAAAACGCATTCTTTATATTTGACGGCAAAAAGTGTGTTATATTTGGCACCGAATCTAATGTTACGGATAAACACATTAGAGATAATCTCGTCATTAATTCCAATTTTATTGTTTACCATTAATATTAATTACTTTTATAAATGAGGACTTTAAAGTAATATGGGCACTTATTCACAAACAACATATATAGCTAGAGCATAACAATATATTACACAAGTGCCCATATTACTTTAAAGCCATCAAATGCTTATTCGAAATTAAACTTTATTTATGTTAAGCCCTATGTTTGGCATGAGATAAAACCTGGACACAAAGGTGTCTAATAGACACTGTCTATTGTTTTGATGCACACCTGTATTGGCAATACCTGTAGACTATTGCTATTCAAAAGCGATTTGAAATAAACAGGTTTTCACTATCAATGAGAACATGTGTTGTAAAGGATAGGAGTTTTCAACCATTTTGTGATTATAGACAATAGATTCAAATTAATTTTGTGATAGTGTTGTGTTTTAATTTAAATTTGGCAATTAAAATATATTGTAAAAAAGAATGCAATAAATGTGTTTAAAATTCAAAAGTATGAATGTGCTAGGAGAACTGTAGGAAAATTTTACTGTGTAAATGTAAATTTTTGAGCACATTCATATTCAAGAGTATTTTTAATAATTTAAATAAAATTAGTTTAAATTGTGTTTAGTTTTTATGGTAAAATGTGTTCAAACTTAATGAGTGTTTCGTTGATTACAACGAAAAGTAAATTCAATGCAATGAAGAGTTTGTGTGAAATAATATACAAAATTCAGTGTATTTTGAATACAAATAATAGTGATTTGTGTGAAGCGATTGAATGCGAAAATAATGATTATTTTTCAATCAATCAAACAATTGATTGCAATTCATGTAAAATCAGTGATAAAATGCTAAACAATTGTCATATCATTACTAAATCTGATGATTATTTGCACTGTTTTTGGCCTAAATGTCAATTCAAGACAACAACTAAACAACAATTAACTTTTCATCAATTAATTCATTCAGAAATTAGACATTTTAAATGTAATTTTAGTGATTGTAATGAGAAATTTAAGTGTAAATCAAATCTAATTGGACATAAAAATAGAGTCCATTTTATTAAAGAATTTATTTGTGAAGTCAATGAATGCCACAAAGTTTTTAAAGCAAAATGTTATTTAAATGCACACAAACGTATTGTTCACTCAAATAATACCAAATATTTACACTGTTTTTGGCCTAAATGTGAATTTAAGACATATACGAAATCAATGTTAAAAAGACATCAATTCATTCATTCAGAAATAAAACAATTTAAATGCAATTTTAATAATTGTAACAAAAGTTATAAACTTAAAGGCGATCTTCAGAAACATATGAATAGCAATCATTTAAATGTTTTATTTATTTTTGTACATATAATATATTTAAAAAATGAACACAATATTTATAATAGCAATATGAATGCCACAAAAGTTTTTCCGAAAAATCTAATTTATTTCGACACAAAAGTTGTGTTCATTTGAATGAAAAAAAATTCAAATGTAATGAAGAAAATTGTGGCAAAAGTTTTTTGTCAATTCATTATCTCATTCAACACCAGAGCCGTCATTCAAGTGATAAACCATTTGTTTGTGATATTAATAATTGTAACAAAAGTTATAAACGGAAATGTTATCTCACAGAACACATGAAAACTCATAAATTTTAGCCATTTATTAAAATTATTTAATTTTATGTTACTAACATTTATGATTATAAAAACATAATTAAATTAAATCTATAAAATAACAACATTATTTATAATTTTATTAATATTATTGCTATTATAAATATTGTGTTCATTTTTTAAATATATTATATGTACAAAAATAAATAAAACATTTATTTAAATAATTCAAAAGAACCATAACTCAAACTATTGTACTATCAATGAATAGATGTGCAAACAATGGCAATGCCTCTCAAAGTTCTGCATAGAGTTGTGTTCAATACCTATAAAAAGATTAACAATAGATGTGTAGTAAAAGTATTGTCACATTTTTGTCCCTCAGAGCCAAACACCTGGACATTGAGGGCATTGAGAGCACAACTATTACTACAAATAATACTGCATTTGAGACAACATTTCCAGAGTTGGAGTAAAACCAAACACATCTTAGACTTTATTATTGAAATCATTGGAACATTTTGTAATAACTTTCAACAAGTTTAGTGTTTATAAATAATTTAATTAATTTTGTCTCAAAATGAGTGTTTCGTTGATTGAAATGAAGAGTAAATTCAATGCAATGAAGAGTTTGTGTAAAATAATAGACAAAATTCAGTGTATTTTGAATACAAATAATAGTGTTTTGTGTGAAGCGATTGAATGCGAAAATAATGATTATTTTTCAATCAATCAAACAATTGATTGCAATTCATGTAAAATCAGTGATAAAATGCTAAACAATTGTCATATCATTACTAAATCTGAT